GTCGTGGTGAGGACGTGGCAGTCAGTGCAGGACGGTTAGTGCCGTGCTGGTCAGCGTGGTCACACCCAGCTTTCCCGCGGTGGGCCTGTTTCCACCAGTCCTCTCAGCTGCGAGGTTTCGTGGCCTAGCGAGCAGCCACGCTCAGGACGGTCCGAGTCTGTGAACGTCAGCCTGTTCGTTTGTGGAGGGGATGTTCTAGAACAGTCACCCCGTGTGGTGTCAGACTGCACGCCAATGGCTGCTCGTTTACGCTGCAGCGTGCCCGGAATCCGTCGGGCTGTGTGGAGCTGCTCTGCGCAGGCTTGACCGGCCTGGAGAGTTGTTTCTCTAATAACATCTGCAGGAGGGGCCAGCAGGTGGCACGCTGGGTAAGGCTCCGGACTCCCCGATGGGCGACGGCAGTTCGAGCTTGGAAATCTGCTGGCCGTGTGTGCGTGTTTGCCCAGGACCCCGGGAGAAGGGATTATGGTGTGGTCACCTCTCCAGGGGTCTTGTCTGTTTTCCGTCTCTCCAGGTGCACGCGACCTCCTTGCTCCCGGGCTGAACTTCTTTCCCCTCTTACCTGTCACCAAGGTGGGTGGCTGAGCCGCTTTCTCCACGGAGACTGTGTGCATGGACTCCCTGTCGCCACGCAGCACCCAGGCCGCCTTCATTGCCCACTCCCACTCCGAGAGAGGAGACAGACAGCACTCCACGACACCCAGGCCTGTACCAGCCAGGTGCTGCTCAGGGCAGCCAGGCCCGGACCCTCCCAGTGTGGGGCCTCACAGAGCCATCGCTGCTGTGCCACCCCCTGTCGCGCTGACCTGCTGTCATCAGTGCCAAGGGAGACTGGTGCTGCGTGTCCTGGAGACCCGAGGTCCGCCCAGCCTCGTTTCTCTTGCCCCAGGTGCCGTGGCTGGGGAAGAGACTGAGTGCGTGTGCTGGCCTGGAGGCCTCTCCGCGGGGCGCCCTGGGCCGGCTTCGGAGGGGCGGCTCACATGTGCTGCGAAGGTGGCTGCAGGGTGGCCTTCTGGAAAAGACCAGGCTCTGGGCTGACGGTGCCCGTGATAAAAACTTCAATTCATGTAGTAGCTCATACAGTAGTTTTTAAAAGTTGATTTATTTCTTCTGTGAGTGAGATATGTGGGGGTATGTCTGCACCCCAGCCAGCAGAGTGCTGGGTCATGGACGTGTGTGGGTCACCCTGCCGAGTGCCCCCCCCCCCCCCCCCCCACCTCTAAAGAACCGCTGTCTACTTTATAGAGCTTCCTCGGGTCTTAGTGGCCGTGGCCTTGCATCTCCCCGACCTGTGGCTCAGTGTCCGTCTCGAACATGCGTGCACACCTGTTGTCTGTCTCCTGTCACCCGGGAGCTGGGAAGGCACGCAGGAGGCCTTGAGTCAGGACGAGCACGCGAGTGTCTCCGTGCAGCCCACCTAGTTGTGAGCCCCGCAGTCCCTGCTCCCCGTTTCACGTTAACCCTTAGCTGGCCATAAGTAGCCAAGGAGAGTCTGGCTTGGCCGTGAGTGACAGGAGCGTTAGGATTTTGGGCATCTGCTCGGCTCCTTGGTTCTGGGGACCGCAGCGGGTACGTCTGGTCACGCGTGCCTGGTGCTCGCAGAGTGCTGGGGAGGTGGCTGTTGATGTCGCGCTGTGTGCCCCCTGCAGCCCTGACCGAAGCTGAAGTCTAAGCCCTGCTGCCGAGGTTTCGTCTCTGGTTTGTGTCTGTCATTTAGTTGTTCATGCTACAAGAGGTGAATCGCTTCAGAGTTTTGTTTTTCCAAAAATGTGCTTTTTTATTTTTTAGGATCTGGAGTTCCACGGAGTGATGAGGTTTTACTTTCAAGATAAAGCTGCTGGGAACTTTGCGACCAAATGCATCCGCGTGTCCAGCACGGCCACCACTCAGGACGTGGTCGAGACCCTGGCGGAGAAGTTCCGCCCCGACATGCGCATGCTGTCGGCGCCCAGGTACTCGCTGTACGAGGTCCACGTGAGCGGAGGTCAGTGTGGCGCCGGCGGGCTCGGAGGGCAGGTGGTTGGCAGGTCGGCAGTCTCACGGCTGGAAGGCGTGTTTATAAATTCCTAGCACACATACTTAATAAAGTTCGACTGAGTACATTAACGTTATACATGCTCATTTCCCCAAAGATAAGTAGTGTTTCGTAGGTGTCACACTTCGATGGTAGCGTCACTGCCTGTTTTTGGAGAAATGTGTCATGTAGCTTGTGTTACGGTGAAGCGTCACCCAGTTAGATACTGGCTTGTCAAATAAGTCCTGACGCATAGCACACGCTGTGCCCTTCAGACAGCCCGGTGTCGTAGGGCATGCGGCAGGAACCTCGCGATGCCTCTGCCTTCTGACAGTGCTTTCACTGTTCTTCGGGAATAGTTAGGGCATGTCGAGGATACCTCCTTATGTATCTAGTAATTTCTGCTCCTCGTAATAGTATAAACTTGGGAAAATGCCTGAAAGACCTGTCTTCAGTGACGACTTGACTTGGACTGATTAGAAATGCAGAACTTGCTAGTTTCTTAGGCGCGCTTTGGGGATGTTGGGTAAGCCGTGGCAGGGAGCACGTTACAGGGCAGAGCCAGCGCGGATCTACCCGAGGTCCCATCCGCACGTATCTGTAATGTCGTTCCTCTTGTCGAAGATACAGTTTTCTGTGAATGCTTGTCCTGTGCGATGTGCAGGTGGGAAGAAAGGCAAGACTTCCCTTTTTTTTTTTTTTTTTTTTTTTGCTGTTTTTAGGCTCGTAAGGTGGCCACCTTCTTAAATAATACCCAAATTAAATGTCACAGCAGGGCCTGTTTTCAATTTCGAGTTTTCAAAGGTTGACTTTTTCCTTTCAGTTAGAGTCTTTTTAAGTAGGTTGCAAAGAACATACCTCCCCCTTCAACTGTTTTTCTGTCTGTGCTGTCTCTTCACCCACCAGAAAAGCTCCTCTCTTACCCTTTCACATAGTAGTTTGTGAAAGATTCCGCTACCCGGGAGGAGCGCACCTCCCACGGGTGAGCCTGGTCAGACTGGCCGCTCAGCCGGTGCTCCGGGAACCTCCCGTCCGTCCTGTGTCTCAGCTTGGACTCGCGGTGCCCTCCTGCAGAAGTTAGCGAGAAGGCTTGGCTCTAGGGTAAACTGCGAGAGGAGCGGCTTGGCCATGGTCGTGTCTCCAGCCTGTCACTCTGTTCCCGTTTCTCATTCCCGCTGACACCGTGAGCTAAGATCGTTACTCCTTTATCGTAATCGTTAGCGTCACCGGGCTGTCCTCGACCTGCTGTGTGACTGTAGGAGCAGCTTGCTCTAGAATTTGAACTGCTGTTCCTCAGGCCTCGTTCTTGGGAAGCCCCACTTCATAGGAAGGCCTCGCAGGCCGCCCGGGGGCTCCCTGCTTCAGACTTCCTCGTCCTTCCCAGTAGCTCTTAGCTCCCCGTGGGCCCCGCCATCGCTGCCAGATGCACGTGGTGCTTTGTCGTGTGCGCCATCACGGGCTCGCGGGCCATGCTGTGCCGTGTCCCACCGGGTGCTGCTGGCTGGGGCTGGGTAGTGGAGGGCAGTGTTTAAATAGAGGATCGATTTCATATGTAGTCAGTTCACGGAGTTGTCATTTTGTGATAAATGTTACTTTTTATTCAGCCTTGAAAGTTCTGGGCAAGGGACCAGCAGTTGGCATAATGGCTATGTTGCTGGACTCCCATGTAGTCGACCACAGTTCAAGTCCCGGACCCGGTGGCTTTAAACTTATGCTGGGCACGTGTGCAGTGGAGGAGAAGGGATTGCGGTGTGGCCATCCCCTCTGGGGGGTGATTTCTCGCTTTCTGTCTCTCTGTCTCTGTCTGGCGAGCACACACGCCCTATAGCAAAAACCTCTCCCCAAAAAAGGAAAGTTTTGGGCTTAATATCATTGTTATTTAGGTAATAGTGCATCCTGTATGGGTATTTCTGAGAAAAGCCCCACATTAACCAAGTTATACAGGAAATTGGCAGACCTAAAGACAAGGGAGGGTTGGGTCAGGTCCCTCAACCACCCAGTTTGTCATGAGTCGAACCAAATGTACAAGGGTGAGCAGCGACTGCATTTCTCTACGGGACGAGGACAGGTGTGGGGACGTGCCTGACCTGTTGTGGGGCTCTCGGCCCCAGAGGAATGATGGCCTCTCTCCCCGACCGCAGCCAGCTGTGGGCCCTGGCCATGGGCCCTCGGAGCCCTCTGGGCCTGTGAGCCCCACAGGTTGCTAATCGTGAGAGAAGCTGCACACAGAGCAGGGCCCTTCCCTGACAGAAGAGTGACGGGGCTTCCCGCACAGGGCTGTGAGGGTGGAAGCTGGCATGTGTCGGGGACACACGGACAGCAGCCGAGCTGTGCCGGGAGAGTGGGCTGGGCTCTGCGTTGGCACAGGTGCGGCCTGCGGCAGCAGCCCCCGGGGCACACCGACAGCACGCCTGGCCTTCATGTCCACGTGCACGCGGACGTCGCCCAGTTCCTGTGCAGGGCCTGCTCAGGAGCTGCCCCGGCCCGGCCATGCCAGGAGCAGCGCCACTGCACGCCCGTTCCCACGCGCCCTCGCCCGGGTGCTCGCGGCGGCTCAGCGCGTGTCAGAGCCCCGGGGTCGCGAGGCCCTGAGTAACCACTGCTTCTCCCTGTGTCTCTCCATGTCCTGAAGAAGAAAGAAGATTGGACGTAGACGAGAAGCCTCTAGTCGTGCAGCTGAACTGGAACAAGGACGACCGGGAGGGCAGGTTTGTCCTCAAGAACGAGAACGACACCGCGCCGCCCAAGGTAGGCCTGCTCGTGCTGCCGGCCGCAGTGGGGCGCTCCGGTTAGAGGGCTCCCTCCTCCGCTGGCAGGTGCCTCAGGAACGGCCTGGCTCCCTGCTTTATCAGTTTTCTCACCCGGTAGCTCCAGGTGTGCCTCCTGTCCTCATTTTCGCCCCGATTTGCCGTAGCGTGTGCACTGGCCAGAAGGAGGGCCGGCCCCGTAGCTGGCTTTTGGCCGTAGCTGGCTTTTGGCTGTAGCTGGCGTCGCGGTCAGCGCGCCGTCGCTCGGGCCTGGGACTCTACAGCCACGGGGGTGATAGCGGTGCTTTTCTCAGAAGGCTCAGAGTAATGGCCCTGAGAAGCAGGAGAAGGAAGGTGTGATCCAGAACTTCAAGAGGACGCTCTCCAAGAAGGAGAAGAAGGAGAAGAAGAAGAGAGAAAAGGAGGCGTTGAGACAGGCATCTGAGAAGGATGACAGGCCTTTCCCGGGAGACGACATGTAAGTTCCTTTGCAGATACTCCTGCTTCTCTGTGCCCCCGAGGGGCGTGTGCTTCCATGACAAGGGAGCGCGGCGAGGGAGGGCTGGGCACAGGTGCTTCTCAGTCAGGCCCCAGGGAGTGAGTCTGGACCTCCCGTGTCCGCTGGGCGCCCCCTGCTGGGCCCCGGGTGTTTGTGACACAACAGCCTCGTTAACGTGTCCCGGGTGATTTAGGAGGGCGAGTGGCAGCCAGGACATCTGGCTGGTGTCAGTGCGGTCTTTGTGCGGAGGGAGGCCAGACCCAGGGCTGCCCCCAGCAAGGTCACTCGTGCAGCCCATTGATGTGGCTGTCCTGAGGGGCTGGACGCCGGTGCTGTCCGCCCTGGCCAGCGTCTTGCTGTCGTGCTGCTGCGTCCCTCACATGTCACGTGCGTTTGCCCTTGGGCTCACATGCACTTCCAGGCCTGGTTGGTGCAGGGCTGCCACGGAGCTCGAGGTCGTCAGCGGGCAGAGTCGCTGTCTGAAAAGTGCAGCGCGTGACCGTGCCTGTGGTCGGCGTCCGTCACTGCGTGATGCTGGAGTGGCGTCGGAGCCCTTTTCGACTCCGTCGGACGGATTCCGGTGTGCTCTGCCGGCATCAGCTGCCTTCGCCGTCGGTCGTGCCGCAGAATCACAGACCAAGGCTCTACTTCGTGCCGTTACGCAGGAAAAACTTCTGGATATCCGCTCATGCATGAAAAATGTTAAAGAAAGGGAGAGTTCAAAACTTAATGTTTTTAAAAAATTATTTATTAAATTTTATTTATTCATTTATTTATTTTTAATTTGACAGAAAGAGACACAGAAACAGAGAGAAAGAGGGGAAGTGAGAAAGCAAGCCCCCAGGTCCAGGAATTGAACCATGGTCAGCCGTGTGGGAGTGTCCGGCACCCCAACCACATGCCACCTGCTGGCCCCTAAAACTTAATGTTTTTTGAGACCAGCAGTTGCTGTAATGGCTATGTCACTGGACTCCCACGCAGTCGACCATGGTTCGAGTCCTGGACCCAGTGACTTAAACTCACACCAGGCACATGTGCGTGCATGCCCAGGATCCTGAGAGGAGAATAGAGAAGGGATTGTGGCATGGCTATCCCCCTGGGGGTTGATTTCTCGCTTTCTGTCTCTGTCTCTCTGTCTTTCTAGTATGCACATGTGCCCCATAGCAAAAACCTCTTTTAAAAAAAAAAAACTTAATATTTTCTTGATTTGTTCTGTATCTGTATAGTTTATGGGTGACACATTTAATTTAAAAATGAGCTAATTACAATAAGTTCAACCTGATTAAAAGCTTGGCTGATTTTTAATTATTTTTGTGATTAAAATTTATATCTTTTAAGTATCTTTATCAAAATTTAGTCAGCTATATCATATCCCCATCTTACCTTTAAACGTTATTTTTAATAACTCCCCCACGGTGAGTCACGGCCATGCCTCTGTCCCTTCCCCTCCGTTCTCCATCCTGTGACCTCCCGCCCCCACGGTGAGTCACGGCCATGCCTCTGTCCCTTCCCCTCCATTCTCCGTCATGTTGGAGTTCCGGGCATGCCTCCACACATCAGGCGTGTTTTCTCAGGCCCCAGGAGCTGGTTCTGAGCCTCCTTGGCCATGTGGGTCCCAGCTCCCTTAACCACAGGCTGCGGGACTGGCCCATCCCTTCCCATCCCTCCATCCCATACCATCGCTCCTTTCCAGAAGCTGTCGGAACAGTTTCATGTGGAAATGTAACTTCAGGAAAGTAAATGTGGATAAATCTTTTAAGTGGAAAAACGTGCTATTTGATTAATTTGGTTTATTCAAGATTTACTATAATTTGGGGGACCAGCAGTTAGCGTAATGTCTATGTCGCTGGACTCCAATGTAGTCGACCGTGGTTCGATTCCCAGACCTGGTGGCTTAAAACTCACACTGGGCGCATGTGCGTGCGTGCCCAAGATCCTGAGAGGAGAATGGAGAAGGGATTGCGGCATGACCATCCCCCCTGGGGGGTGATTTCTCACTTTCTGTCTCTCTGTATCTCTCTGTCTTTCTGGTGAGCGCACGCATACTATATAGCAAAAAACCAAAAGATTTACTCTAATTTAGGCCCTATTTCAGTTCCTGTGTTTAGAATTTTTGTGGCCCACACTCACTCCCAGGGTCTCGGGACAGAGCACTGACATGTACAGTTGGCCGCTCCTATAGCTGTGTCCGTGAACGCCTCACCGAGCCCCGTGGACTTCCTGGCACGTTGACGGGGCTATTTCTCGCTGTGTTGTCTCAGTTTGTACTGCGACCACACCCTACCTGCAGCGTGCGCACGTGGACCTGTTTGGGCAAGATGGGTCAGGGAATAGCTGCTGTTCGATTTCTGTTTATGTCCAGCGTGACGGTTCCTAATATGAAAAACACATTTAAAACATGCTCGGTGCTTCTTTGTGTTTCTTGCAGTGAAAATTCTCGATTAGCTGCTGAGGTTTACAAAGACATGCCTGAAACCAGCTTTACTCGAACAATTTCTAATCCCGAGGTGGTCATGAAACGGCGGAGGCAGCAAAAATTGGAAAAGAGAATGCAAGAATTTCGGAGCTCAGATGGGCGGCCGGACTCAGGTCAGACTTGGAACTGTCCCTTCCGTTGTAGCCATGCACAGAGTGGCATTTAACCGCGCTCCTGACGTGTGCGTGAGGCCTTCGCTCGCTGAAGCAGTGGCTGTTGTGGCCTCCTACGGTGATTCTGTACCCTGTGTCTGGGTCAGGTCAGTATAGCCCACGTGTCGGAGGGCTCCGTTCACGTAGCCACGTGAGCATCTCAAGTAAACGTGAAAGAAGGCGAATGGGCACATGTGCTTGCCCGTGTGCCGCTGAGCGCTGAGCTGGTGGGCACCTGTGCTCTGCACGCAGCCGTGCCCCTCCGTCCCAGGCTGCCGTGCTGCAGCTCTCCCCGACTGCTCATGATTTGCCTCTGCGTTTTAATGTATTTTTCTGAAGGATAAGGATTCTTAAAAAAAAAAAAAAAAAAAGCACAGTATTATTGTAACACATAAAAGAATTGACTTTATTTTTCTTTTTTTGAGATAAGAGAGTTTTGCAATCAAGGTGCATGCGCTCACTAGAGAGAGAGAGAGAAAGTAAGAAATCAAGCCCCGGGGCAGTGACTACACTGCAATCTTTTCTGCATTCTCCTCTCAGGATTTTGGGCATGCAAGCACACCTGGACGGTGTGTTTCAAGCCACTGGGTCCAGGACTTGAACTGCAGTCTATGTGTGGGAGTCCAGCGACTTAACCATTACACCATCTGCTAGTCACAAAGGTTTCTTCATAACATCAAACTCCTGCTTTCTCTCTTTCTCTCTCTTTTCCTTTATCTTTCTCTGGTCAAGCTTAAAAAATAAAAATTATTATCATTATAATTAATAAAGTTAAATGAAATAATTCTTTGAAAATTGGCGCCGGCAGGTGATGTGTGTGGTTAACCAGGTGATGCTGGACTCCCACATGACCTACTGTGGTTCAAGTCTTGGACCTGGCAGCTTGTTTTCCCACTTCTCTCTCTCTCTGGTCAAGTTTTAAAAAATAATTATAATAAAGTTAAATAAAATAATTGTTTAAGAAAAATAACATCAGATTCCTAGCCACTATTTAAATTTTCCCGATTGCCTCGGATGGCCCTCTGTTTGGATCCAGGACCCCATAAGACTCGCACATTGCAGCTGACTGTCCTCTGTCGTCCGACAGCCCCGCTCGCTCTTACTCACATCTCTGTATTGCTGGCTGGTTTGTTGGTTCTGAAAGCCCAGGCCATTTGCGTAGATTTTTCTAGGCTCTTGTAGGTTTTCTTAACTCTGTCTTTCGGTGCTATGTGCTGTTTTTCCCTCTGTTTTCTGTATTTCATTTATGAGCCGTAGGTGTGGACTTTGGATTCCGGGAAAAGAGGACAGGGCATGAACACTTACCTTAGTAAGTGCCCTTCAGAGGGCCTGGCCAGTGATTTAAACATCATTTCTAATCAGTTTACAGATTTAAGGCTGCCCCACGTTCCCGATCCATTCTTACTGATTCTCAGATTGTCACCTGGAGGCTCCTCCATGCCCGCCTCTACACAGGGGGCAGGCGCAGCCCGCGGGTCTGAGCATGTGGTCACTTGCCCCCGTCCTGTGACTGCTGAGGGCCCAGCCGAGTGCATGCAGAACTCTGCACCTGCGGGCCGCCGTGGCCATGCAGGAGTGGCTCCCGGGAACTGCCTGCTGGCTTTGACCCAGAGCCCCTCACCCCACTCCGGTCTCTGAGTCTTAATTTTGCATCTCACGGGAACTGCAGCATTGCTAATTTTTAAGAACTGAGAGCGTAAAGTCCTGGTTCTGTAAATCCTGTCTTCAGTGACTTTTTGTACGAGAAAAAGGAAAAACAACATGAAGGAAAAGAGCAGAAGGAGAAGGGGTGAAGTAACAGCCTCTGAGGACGGGAGGAGGTACCCACCCGCCCGCCACGTGTCAGCCTGAGGGCCCCTGTGCCGTGGGGCTCGTGGGGCCTCGGTCCTGTGCCTGCCGCTTTCTGAAGGTGGAGCTGGCTTGTGGTGACGTGTGGGCCGAGGCACCTGCGAGCTTTGCTAAAGGTCGAGTACCAAGTTTGTCAGTCCCTGAGATATGTCACAACAAACTGCATTTTAATGTAGATCAGGATTGCAACATTTACGTCTGTGTTTCAGGTAAAACAGGAAACTTTACAGGTCATTCTGTGTCCACAGAAACCCATGTTTATTTTCCACAGTGGAGGCATTTTGGTAGGAAATTTTGATAAGCTTTGTTAGTAAGCTGTTGAAGAATTTTGAGCTGGGGAATTTAGAGAGCGTTTTCGTTAGCTCAGTTTCAAACCCAGAGTGCCCCCTGCAGAAACAGTGGGGGAGAGTGTGAGGGAGCTGAGAGCAGCACACGCGGGCCCGGGGGTCGGACCACGAGGAGGAGAGGGAGCGCAGGCGTGTGGAGGTGGGCTCTCAGCACCGGAGCGGGCCAGGTTTGCCGAGGAGGGAGGTGTGCAGGAGGACGCCAGGTCGTAGCTGGGAGGTGCTGAGGGCTGTGGAGCGAAAAGGCACTTGGGGTGGATTCCCTAGTGTGCCTGGGGGTGCCCGACGGGGTGGGAGGTCCAGGACTCGCTATGTCCAGGCTCAGAGCTGTCAGCAGCGCCGATGGGGTGTGCGGTTGGGAGTGACCTGCGTGTGGGGTGAAGCAGAGTTCCTTGGCCGGGCCTGGGGTGTTGGGTGCAAGGGATGCAAGTAATAGAAAGCCGAAGGGAAGGCAAGGCCGTGGCTAAGAACAGAAAAAAAGAACCCGCAAAAAATTCGGAGGAAAAACGGCGAGACGTCAGATAGGGCCTGTCCTATCCAGGGCTGCTGGGGCCGAGGGTGCGGTTTGGTATACGGCCCGAGATCTAGGACCCGGAGGCGGTCAGCAGGACAGCTGTCCGGTCGGCGGAGGGCGTGCGCAGTGGTTGCTGCGGGCTCCGCTCTGGTAGACGGCTCAGACCACACAGCCTTGTGGCCCCGAGCTGCCGAGCGCCAGGGGACTCTCAGTGGAGACGAGGCCCAGCACAGGACCACACCGTTTCCGGGTCAGCAGGTCCTGGCGACGGAATCCTCGTACCCTCTGAGCGGCACAGCCCGTCGGGCGGGTTGCCCCCATGAGCTCTGTCATTCCCTTTGTGACGCCTTCAGAGCGTAGTTGACCCCAAACGCTCTGCGTGTCAGTGTGGCGCGGGGCCCGCTACCAGAGCACGGCCGTTTCCCTGCTCGGAAGTTTGTTAGCAGCTGTAGGCTTGGCTCCAGGGTCGGGCCTCCCTGGGTGTCCCAGCGCACCGTGGTGGAAGCGGCAGGTGCGGACCGCCCCGTGGCCTGTGCTTGAGCCAGTGTGCTCCTCTTCAAGAGTGGGTGTGGTCGCCCCCTAGTTCTTCTTCCTTTCTTTCTTTCTTTCTCTTTCTTTTTGTTTTTTTAAAGAATTATTTAACTTTATTTCTTTTAATTCTACCAAAGTGGGACAGAGAAAGTGAGAAAGCAAGCTGCCAGGTCCGAGACTCTGACCGTAGCCGGCCATGCGGGAGTCCAGTGTCCTTAACCGCCACACCACCCGCCTGCCAGTCCCCTAGCTTTACAACTGAATCCTGTGCTTATCAGGTAGTTTAGTCTGTAATAGAAACTCCTCCTCCTCCTTCCTTAAAGTGGGGGCGTGTAGCTCTCCCATGGTCCTCACAGCCTCTGCTCACAATTTAGTTGGGCTGGACCCGCCCCCCACCGTATCAGAGTGCCTTAGGCAGGGCCCACCCATGCCCCCTGGTGTCAGAATGCCTTAGCACTCCTGTGGCTACAACCAGAACCTGCCTGTGCCCCAAGGGGGCGTGGGGCCC